TATATTTTTGTGAATGTAGCATTGTAATTGTAAAAATAAATAAATAGGAAAGACTGTTCATAGTCTTGTAACCTGTTGATAGCTCTCCTATGAAGTATTTATTGCTTGCGCTGCACATAAGTGGGGGTGCAATGGACAATGTGGAGAATTTTAAAGTAAAAGTATGTAATTCCTGGCAGACTACCAAGAGAATATAAAAACAAAACAATAAATTCCCCCTGCGCCGCCAATGCTAAAAAAACAAAACCAGGTGGCTGCTAACACCTGCCTATCATACCAATAGTGTCAGAACAGTGAATGGAAAAAATTATGCTGCGCTACTCAAACAGACCCATAAATAATAATGAATAAAAATGAAATAGATAAATCAATCACATGGCAACATGAAAACTGGTTGTGATCCAAATGGTAAAAAAAAATATAGTAATAAAACAAGTCATAAATATGAATCACTCAACAAAAAAAAACACCCAATGTAAACAAAGTGACAGTAATGATACATAAACAACCATGAATAGATGGGTACCATAAAAATCATAAATAAAGGAAGAATATATAAGTAAATGTGAAAAATGCCATAATAAAGTGCACAGTCCCAGTGAATCTGTCTATCTTCAAAAGAAGCCATGGAACATCCAGTGACCACAAAAAACACAGCAAATCCTCCACCAGCTAATGTGCGTACTCACCTCCAGGTTGCGACCCACAAGGGGTCATAAGGCTAAAAAAGCACTCATCCAATGATACCTCTCTTCGATAATGATCAGGGAACTCCTCTATAGTGGCGATAGTAGACAGTCATCAAACGTACCAGCAGGAAACTCAGAAGTCCCCACATGGATATGGCCAAAACTCTCTCCTCTTCAATAGCAGGTTAGAGGACTCCAGTTTTAATCTCCTAGGGTAGAGCTGCAGTGTCCCGACATCTTACTGAGGCCCATGTGGGGCTGGCGACTTCACTGGATTTTCTTGCACGGTCAGTACTGCTGTTATTTACATTTTGCTGTGCTTTATATACAAATAAAATCATTAGCAGTACTACTCTATCCTGGCATCCTTTCTTTTGGGGGGCTCTTGTTGTGAGTCCCACTACCCACAGTATACTCATCCATACGAGAGGTGTAACGTGCCAGTGATGATCCAGGAGCGGGTCCTTTCCTTGGGATTGATGTATTCCCTAATGATCCAGCTGACTTCATGAGAGATATATATTTTTATGCGCTATAAAATTGCGCATCTGGTGAGTGCGGGATTTTATCATTTGTGTCACACCAGAAGAATCTTGCATGATCACCTGGATTATGAGTTTCACGTTTATTAAATGGACGTTTTTACTTATACGCACCTGTGATCACTTTATTATTATAAGTTTCTGATGCACATTGTCACTTTGTATCAGCACTTTTCAGTTCATATCCTATATGTATTTAATTCATACCTTGATATATAGTGCTTATCTTTATGTTTGCTATTTCTTTGTTATATATTGCTATTGTCCCAGCGCTGCACCATCTATATTTAATTTTTTAAATCTCCTGTTTTAAACACATCCCACTTTGTCAAATTTCTGGAAAGCCTTTCTAGAAATTTGACAAAGTGGGATGACTTTTAAATAGGAGATTAAAAACTTGAGTCCTCTAACCTGCTATTGGAGAGGAGAGAGTTTTGGCCATATCCGTGTGGAGACTTCTGAGTTTACTGCTGGTACGTTGATGAGTGTCTACTATGGCCATTATGAGTGTCTACTATCACCATTTGTGCACATTATTATGGCACTTTTCATATTCATAACTTTATGATTTTTATGGTACCTAGCTATTCATTGTTGTTTACGTATCATTACTGTCACTTTGTTTACATTGGGTGTTTTTTTTTTTGAGTGATTCATTTTTTATTTATCATGTTTTCATGTTTTCATGCCATGTGATTGATTTATCTACTTCATTTTGATTCATTATTATTTAGGGGTCTATTTGATTGGGTAGCGCAGCATCATTTTTTTCATTCACTACCAAGAGAATATGTATGTGCTATGTGCTGGGTCCTGCACTTGTTGAGTACCAGAGGTTTAAGTGGGTAGTATTGGTAGCAGTAGCAATGTTGCCTACTAGTCCTGTTCTTTCCTGCTCACATTCCCAGAGGGGGTGGCAGCTGTGCCAACCCTCTGCCAACCCCTGCACCCACCTCCAGCCTGCTACATCAATGTATTGCTGATCCTGTGACAGCTACTCTGTGTAAGTCACCCACTCAGGGATTACTTTACATTTCTAACCCGAGCCACCTTCTGAAGTACCTTAATACATTGTTGGCCAGTGAAGTGCCTTTTCTACATTGACTGACAGACAATATGTGTGTAAGGGTAATAGAGGTCAACTACCCTGCCATTGACCACCAATGTAAAGAAAGTGGGTCAATTAAATACCTTCACTAACCACCTGTGTGTGTGTGTGTGTGTGTGTGTGTGTGTGTGTGTGTGTGTGTGTGTGTAACCCCAGTGATACGGACTACCATTGCAGGATGAAAGGGGTTTATTAACATTGACACTGGCCACCAATTTGGGGAGAGGGTTAATTAACTCTGCCACAGATCATCAATGTGGGTAGTTACAATAACACTGCCACTGACTACTAGTGGGCGAGTGATTTAAAATACCACTGTCACTGACCATCAATGCAGGAAGGAGTAAAAAGGGGATTAAGAATAAGGATATACTTCAGGTTTGGATCAACAATCAGTTAGTCCCAAACCTAAATTGTTCACAGTTTTCTGCATGGGTGAACTAAATGGCCAGATTTAGACAGTTTGCTCACCTGCCTGAACTTCCAACTGCAGCAGTATTTAGTGGTAAAATTACTAAAGCCACTATATGACAGTGACATAATTGACTACAATTTGTCACAGCATCAGCCAGCATCCCTAGCTGGTTTGATGACATACAGCAGCCATCAAGGGAGCTGTCATTAATGACAGGAGTAGTAGTGGTGCAAAGAGGATTGCCATTGCACAGGTCACCATATTTGCGTCAGCTGGTCATCAGGCTATGGTTCATTGACAATGGACCTACTGTACACCACTGGATAGCATGATTCATGTTGGACTTTCATCATGAGAATTTAATTTTTAATAAAGATTTTTTTTAAGGTTTAGATGAATTTCATGTACTATTTTACTTAAGGACTACTGTGTACTCATTACTCATTCACACAGAAGGGAGGGACAGATAAATGCCCTCACCCCCCTTATTTTAATGGAGGTTTTTAGATTCGTATAAGTGCCTCTCACCCTGAAAACCTTTACATACATCAGGTCAGGAATGTGGGGATGAGACCCATGTCCTCCTGGTAAGGCATCCTCTCAATATTGATGGCATGTGGCCTGGCATGGTTTAAAAGTAAGGGTGCACACTTACAGTCTGCATGCCTGGATAAGGGTCTAGTGTGGATTTGGGGATATCCCACTCTTTAACTTTTTTGTCTGGGGTCACCCTACAAATTCACAGTAGATCATCATCAAGGATAAGCATCTAGTGTGCATTTTATGTATGTAATTTTGGAGGACCCCAAGTCTTTTTTAAAAAAAATTATAAGTACAGTATATATTTTTGTGAACAATTGTGTACTGTCCCTTTAAGAAAAACAGTGTAGGGTCCACCTCAAAATGCATACAGAGGATAAGGGTCCGGTGTGGATATAAAGGGGAACTCTATGATACTTTCCTCACTACAATGAAATGACAATGCTCCAATTTGGGACTTCGTAAAACTCCTTTTTACAGGCCAAAACCACCAACTCTCAGCATATGCCCTAATGCAGAAACAGCAAAGTAAACTTCCCAATATAAAATTCTGGGAAAGACAGATTCATTTTACCATATCCATCAAACAATGGAACACTACAACCATGAAACCTCTTGCAAAAATTACCCCACAAATGGTACAATACTCTCCAGAGATTGGCGGGGATCTTAAACCATGCTCTGCTATGTTGGAAAAAATGTGGACACAGGAAACTTTATGCATGTCTCGTGGTACTGTCAACATTTAGTCTACTTCTGTTCTGATCTTTTCAAATTCATTTTATTTATTTGTTACCCATTTTTCCTGCATCTCAAACCATAAAAGAGCACTAGGGAATGGGAATTGAGCAGTGGCCAGTTAAATTTTCAAGCCTTTGTAACCCATACTTTTTAATCAGCTAGATTTGCAGTTGCAAGACAATGGAAATATATAAAAACACCCTTTCTTTATGGTCATCCAGATAATTAATGACCATATCCTATATGAATATTTATTTGCCAAAGCACACCTATCACGTAATACCTGCTGGCAACGATGGGGCCCTTGGCTATTTTTTTTTTTTACTTGCGTTTATTAAAGTTTCTCCAAAGTTAGCCAATATAGCATAAAGGGTAAAGATTAGATACAATACAAAGTGAGTTACACATAACTCTCAAATATGGAAAGTACATCATAACTAAAAAAAGAAGAGAAAAAACCTTCAATGTACAATACAAATTGAAAAAGGCAAATAAGATTTTGGACTTATTGACTGTACAGGGGGAGTGCAACTAGGATGGAAGGAGGGGGAAACAAAAAGGTACATAATAGTAATTCCCTCCATAGAAGAAAGCACTAGATGGCTCTGTTGTAGAGAGGGAGAATAGCTGGTGCTGGTGATATGCCAAAAGTTTAGCAGCATAGGTAAATTGTTGTGTGCTTAAGGTAGAGGGGTACTTCTTGTATCCTTAAGCCACAATTCCCAAATATTTGTAAAATTTAGGGGTCAACAAGTGTGATTTGGCTAACATGAATTCCATTAGACATTGGTCATTAAGGAGTGAGATCACTATTTGGATAGTGGGAAATGTGGATCTCTTCCAATTACAAGTGATGGAGAGTCTGGTAACTATAAGGATGTGTGTGACTAGGGAGTATATTGAGGGAGGCCATTCAGTTAAACGCCAAGGACCTAAAGAGGGGCGCGGACTGACAACTCATGGGGCCCCCGGCAATAGGGGATCATGGGGCCCCTGCATCCTTGCCCAAACTCAAAAAAGCCTATGAAAAAGGTACCAGGAGCATCTCATGGGGCCCCCTACTGACCCCGGGCCCTCGGGCAGTGCCCGAGTTTCCAAATGGTCAGTCCGCCCCTGGACCTAAACCACCTTGCTAAATGCGCCACAATGTGGAAAACAGCCAAATAACACAAATTTGACATTTTATGCATTTAAGAGACATTTTGGCCAAGAAGCTTCACCATCTTGCCAATATAAAAGCTTCCCTCACATTTTGAAAGCCTGCTGCCAGCAGAAAAAAAATGCGAGTTCTAATCGCCATAAAAGACTCTTAGATCCGAAAGGCAGATATATCATCCTGTCATGCAGTAATCGACAACACTCCATATACCCTGTTCAACATTTATTCTCCTAATCTACACTCATAGCCAATAGATTGATAGAGATTTTATCAACCTTAATACTTATGTACCAATCTGGTCAACAAGCTTCTGATTGAACTAAGCAATTGATTAAATATTGTCCACCATGCAGAAATCTCAAGAACACCTTCTGTTTCTGTCTTTGGATGCAGAGAAGATGTTCAGCAGGATTCCCTGCAATTACCTGCACACAGTTGTACTTAAATTTAAATCCTTAACACCACCCCCTAGCCTTATACTCCATGCCATCAGCAAAAGTATATACATTCAATATGTTATCTACAGCCTTTCAAATCACAAATGGTACCAAGCAAGGATGCCCCCTATCTCCAATAATTTTCAATATGCTTATGGAAAATCTAGCAGAACACATTAGAACAAATGACAATATCTCTGGTCTCAACGTCGCATCCTGGGAACACAAAATCAGCCTATTTGCTGATGATGTGATTCTGATGCTCGCCAACCCATCCTCATCCTTAGTTGAAGCGCAAAAATGACTACAGTGGTTCAGAAAAAGATCCTACTATAAGGTTAACTAATCAAAATAATTTATACTAGACCTAGGACTAGATGGCGTTACTAAAAATCGTCTACACCAACAATTTCCATTCACTTGGGTGAACGACAATATAACACATTTGGGTATTAACTGCTTCCTGACTGCCCTATAGCAGAATTACTGCTACAGGGTGGCAGGGCTGTGCAAAATCACACACACACATATATATATATATATATATATATATATATATATACACAGTATATATACACATACACACACATGATTTTGCATTTCCGGGTAGGGGGCGTGCACCGGCCTTCCCGTGATGCCATTGGTGGCTACAGATGTCGATCACCAGGTCCTGTCCAGAGATTACCTGCCTGCACCCGACGAGAGAGACCTGAGTGTAAACACCACAGGTCTCTCTCCTGCCAGCAGTAACATGCTGCTGTGTATTTCTCTGCGCAGCAGAGCAATACAAAGCAGCTTGTCTACATAGTAAAACACACACAGCACACAGTTAACCTTTTGATCACCCCAGATGTTAATCCCTTCTTGCCAAGTGTCATTAGTACAGTGTTAGTGCTTTTTATTAGCACTGATCACTGTATTAGTGTCATTGGGATGTCAGTGGCAGTTAGTCAGTTATCCCCATTTTCAGAATGCCTGCAGCAGTCCTGCTATAAGTCGCTTTAAATAAATTTTAAAAATTCCAGTATATATACCATTTGTAGACGCTTTAACTTTCACGTAAACCAATTAATTTACACATATTGGAATTTTTGTTTAGCAAAAACATGTAGCAGAATACATTTTGGCCTAAATTTATGACAAAAGTTGTTTTACATTTTTTTACTGGATATGTTTTCTAGCAAAAAATCAAAAAAAAATTTTTTTTTAATATATATATATATATATATATATATATATTTTTTTTTTTTTTTTCTAAATTGTCAGTCTTTTGTTTATAGCGCAAAAAATAAAATACACACAGGAAATCAAATACCGCCAAAAGAAAGCTCTATTTGTAGGAAGAAAAGGATATAAATTTCATTTATGTACAGTGTTGCATGACCGCGCAATTGTCAGTTAAAGTAATTGCAAAAAATGACCTGGTCAGGAAGGAGGGTAAATCCTCTGAAGGGAAAGTCGTTAAATTAACAAGAACCACTAGAACCCTCTTTCACCACAACTTCCCTCATTTCCACACTAAGGTACAGCAAGATCTAAAACAGATGCCGAGACATGACTTTTTCTGGCTAGGCAGACTTGCTGCATTTAATATGATGCACCTCCCTCAACTCTTGTACCTTTTTAGGACTCCTCAAATCCCTATTCCCATAGACTACTTCAAAACCTTGCAATCCACACTGTCACATTTTATATGGCAAGGGAAAAAGCCTTGATGCGCACATACTAAGCTAATTAAGAATAGTGGGTGGGGTAGGCTACATAGAATTTTCTGATTATTAGGCTTCCATCCTGACACAACTTAAAGACTGATTCCTGCCAAGACCTAATACCTTATGGGGCCACATTGAATCATCTTACAGTTCACAACAATCCTTAAAAGAATGAATACTTAGCACTCAAATGGGAGCCCCTATTCCTTCCTATATTTCCCCCTGTGGCAGCATCTGTAAAATCCTGGCAACAGCTCATAAAATTATCACACACTTACCCAGCAACCCTAAAAATCCCAATAACTACTCTTCAACGCTTGATCAGACATTGCATACTCCTCCCGACGAGCAAAGGCATAACTTATATAAATGATCTGTTCAAACACAACAACCTCAAGTCCTTTCCAAACTTCTAGGAAGAGTATCACTTGACTACTCAAGATCTATTCAAGTATATTTGAACAACTCACTGTCTACACTCTCTTCCCAATTGGTTGTGTAAACTACTACATCCCACATGGACTTTCCTCCATACTCCGACAAATTCATTAAAAGGCATTTCACTATTTTACAACTTATTTCAACACAAAAATATTTTCACTAAAACAGATCCCTTCCTAAAGTAGGAATCTGACCTAGAGAAATCATGCACAGAATTCCACTGGGGCAAGCATGCCAATTACCAGTCATATGCTGCTCTACTCTATGGAAAATATCACACTAAATTGGTACTTAACTCCACATAAACTAGCACACTTTAAAGGGACACACATGCAACCTTTGTTGGAGACCATGTGTGCAGAAAGAAGATATTTTCCATATTTTTGGAGGATGTACCAAGCTCAAACCCTTCTTGTTTTCCATATTCCATATCATCTCTGAAATAACTCATACCTGTATTCCTCCATCTCCTTGTCTGGTACTTCTAAATCTAGATGGAGACCTACTACCATATCACATTTGATACAAAATTTTACACATTCTATTAGCAGCAAGACTCAACATCACCAGATGCTGGAAAACAACAATACCACCTACAATTTCTGATACACTAGACCTAACTCAATTATACCTTTCATATGAACATAGGATGGCTATAAGTACAGGAATGTTAGCCCATATAAACTCACTATGGCAACCTTGGGATAACTGGAAACTGCTTAACTCTTAATGGAATACTACGTGCTGGAAGCAATAGATAGAATCTGGAAGTCTACGCTTTATCCTCTCCTTACCCGCTGTTTGTTATGTTATTTACTATTCCTAAGCTACTGTTACACTACTAAAAACACACCACAAGCTGAATATTCTTGAGAATTGTACTATATGCTTTTCAACTGGACCAACAAGTCCTTAAGAAATTAAATGTTCCACAGTTTTTAGTCCAAGAAATATGTACTATTTATATCAATAATCTAAAAATGTGTTACCTCATTTGAATACAATATGTTTTGTTATATCAAAGATATTTCAATACAAATCTATTGAATTAAAAAAATATAGCAGCTTTATAGTATGTTTTGAGGTCTGGTGCTCCCACTCCTCCTGATTTAGTCTCCAGATATAGGATTAAGTGGTGCAGCCCAAGGCCTTTTGTATTCCCCAAATGAAAGAGTCCAGAATTCCTTGCAATTTGTTGAGGTGACAAGGTAGCATTGGGACTGGGAGAGTTCTGAAAAAATACAGAGCATGAGGCAGGAGAAACATTTTCATTAGAGCAATGCATCCTACCAAGGAAGCTTTGACCAATCTCAATGTGGAGCTTAATTGTTGTAGTTTGCTGATTAGGAGCTCCAAGTTGGTGTGTAAGAGAGCAGAAGAGGGTGTGACTAATTGTATCTCTAAATAATACAACATTGAGTTGGGTGCCCATGAGAAATGTGTCCTCTGAGATATCTCATTCTTATCTGAAAGGATGAGGTGAATACCAATCATTGAGGACTTGGAGTGATTAAGTTTCTATAATGATATCTGTCCAAAGTCATTCAGTGTCTGTAGGAGAATGGATAGTGATTGTTTGGGTTTGGGTTTAGAGAGTGAGACAATAATGTAATCTGCACAAAGGCCAATTTTGTGAGCAACCTCACCAACTGTGATACCATTAATTAATGGGTTGGTGTGAATAGTAGCGGGTAATGACTCGAAAATATAGGAGGGGACAATGATGGGTGCCATTAGTAATAGTAATTGGGTCTGATAGGTATCCCACTGCCCAAACTCTGGCTGTAGGTTTAGAGTAAAGACCTAAGATAGCCTTAAGGAAAGTGCCAGTCAGTCCAAATTTATTAAGCACATTTTCTAGATATTTTCAGTGCACTCTATCGAATGCTCTCTCTTCATCTAATGAGATGAACACAGAAGGCCTTTGTTGGTACTCAGCCCACTGAATGAGGTTGATGAACCACTGTATGCCATCAGAGGCTTGCCATTGAGGGATAAGCCCAACCTGTCAGGATGTATTAATTGAGGTATTATGTTGGTAAACGGGATGCTAAAAGTTTGGCATATAGTGTCAAATCTGTGTTGAGTAGGGAGATGGGTCAATAATTAGCTGGGTCATCAAAACTTCTACCTGGTTTTGGGATAGTAACTAACAATTGCGTGGTCATGCAACACTGGACTCTTTAGGGATTTCATTGGTTGCCATGAATCTATTACCCTGGGGGCCTGTCAAGAATGGATTTTGGACTGGGATATTTTGCTCTCATATTGATTAGCTAGAACCTTACCAGGTTTGCTCCCTTGGGAATACCAAGAGAGGCAGAGAGAAATCAAAGTTTTTATGGAAAGCTAAGGTCACAGCAGAGTTGATAGAACTCATTAGTAGTTTGAAGAGTGGGAGAGGTTTCGTTGTTAAGCTCAAGTGCTCTTATACAGTCCAGGTACTAGAAAGTAATTTCAGAACGTCTTCTTTTCTCATGGGCACCAATTTTAAGGAACAGTCCTCTAAGAGCTGAATTGTGGGCATTCCAGACTATGGTGGGGTTGGGTATGGAATATGAGTTAGAGGAGAAATAGGATTCTATTTCAGTCTTGATCTGTGGATTGTAAAGTTTGTGGGTTAGTAAGGAAGCATTCATTTTCCATACCGTATTGGGTTTGGGAGTGGGGCTAGTACATAGAGTTATAGTTACTGGAACCTGGTCAAACCATGTTATGATCCCAATAGAGGCTGATGTGATTTGTTGTAGAAGGGATTTTGATGTATGAAATAGATCAAGCCTGGAATAGGATCTCTGGGTAGATGAGAAATAGGCATAATCCTGTTTAGTACCATGGATACACCTCCAGATGTCATAAAGGTTCTCTGTAGTAAGCATTGAGGATAACAAAGAAGAGTGCTTCCTTTGGGGATTGGAGGAATCTAGGGAGTGGTCTACTATCTCATTGAAGTCTCTGCATATAATAATATGTTTCTGGGGATAGGTAGAGAGTTTGTTCAAACATTTTTTTATAAAAGGATTTTTGTCCAGTGTTAGGAGAGTATAAATTAACTATAATTAGTGGACAATTGTTAAATGATGCAGACAGAATGAGAAATCTGCCAGAGGGGTCTTGTTCAAGGTGATCCAGCTGAAATACTACTGAACAGTGAATGGCTATCATAACACCTCTAGCTTTTTTATCTGAATGGGCGTAGTAGATATGTGGGTATAGTTTATGAGCAAAGATTGGCACTTTATTTTAAGCAAAATGTGTCTTTTGGATGCATAGAATATCTGTATTTTGGGATAAAGCTTCTTTCCATATTATTGAACGTTTGAATGGGTGGTTAAGACCCTTAGCATTAAGGGTGGTGATTAGAGATGAGCGAAGTATTCAAAAATTCGATTCGACTGATTCGGCGAATTCGTGGAAAAATTTCGATTCGAGTCGAATATATTCGCTGTGAATTTAACTTAAAAAAGGGTGTTTCTAGGCTTCAGAGAGACTTAATATTAGTGCTGAACACTGTACCTTTAATTTAAATGCCCTTGGAGTCTGCTGGGGAAGAGAAATAATACTGTCAGGCAGTATGACATGCAGATGAGTGCCGTCGATCTTAGAATCACCGCACACTTCACTCATTTGGGCAGTCACGGGGCCAAAACCAGAGTGTGGAGCCACAGTGTGGCGGTGGAGGCAGCAGCAATGAGGCCATACAGCACCCTATGACAAAAATGGAAACCACCAGCAGTGTGAGGAGACCTGAAAGTGGCACATGGCAGAGTGTGGCGATAGAGACAGCAGCAATGGGAGGCCGTACAGGGACCCATGACACACTCTGGACCTGGCAGCAGCATGAGGAGGCGGTACAGGGGCCCATGGCAGATTACGGGCCTGGCAGCAGCATGAGGAGTCGGTACGGGGGCCCATGGCAGATTACGGGCCTGGCAGCAGCAATGGGAGGCCGTACAGGGACCCATGACACAATCTGGACCTGGCAGCAGCATGGGGAGGCGGTACAGGGGCCCATGACAGATTACGGGCCTGGCAGCAGCATTTGGAGTCGGTACGGGGGCCCATGACACACTCTGGACCTGGCAGCAGCATGAGGAGGCGGTACAGGGGCGCATGACAGATTACGAGCCTGGCAGCAGCAACTTGGACAGGAGGACGTTCAGTTTGTGCAACGTCTGGTGCGTGCTCGCAAACTGTTGTCTCTTGGAAACGGATTCCAAGAAAGACTGCTGACGGAATCCGTGAAGAGGAGTAGCAGGAGAAGGAGCATCTGAACGAGCGGAATATGCCAACAAGCGACAACAGGGGCCCATGACAGATTACGGGCCTGGCAGCAGCATGAGGAGTCGGTACGGGGGCCCATGGCAGATTAGGGGCCTGGCAGCAGCTATGGGAGGCCCATAATCTGCCAGCACCCTATGACAAAAAATGGAACCCACCAGCAGTGTGAGGAGACCTGAAAGTGGCACATGGCAGAGTGTGGCGATGGAGACAGCAGCAATGGGAGGCCGTACAGGGACCCATGAGAGACTCTGGACCTGGCAGCAGCATGAGGAGGCGGTATATAGGGGCCTATGGCAGATTAGGGGCCTGGCAGCAGCTATAGGAGGCCCGTAATCTGCCAGCACCCTATGTCAAAAAATTCTACACACCAGCAGTGTGAGGAGACCTGAAAGTGGCACATGGCAGAGTGTGGCGATGGAGACAGCAGCAATGGGAGGCCGTACAGGGACCCATGACAGACTCTGGACCTGGCAGCAGCATGAGGAGGCGGTATATAGGGGCCTATGGCAGATTAGGGGCCTGGCAGCAGCTATGGGAGGCCCGTAATCTGCCAGCACCCTATGTCAAAAAATTAAACACACCAGCAGTGTGTGAGGAGACCTGAAAGTGGCACATGGCAGAGTGTGGCGATGGAGACAGCAGCAATGGGAGGCCGTACAGGGACCCATGAGAGACTCTGGACCTGGCAGCAGCATGAGGAGGCGGTATATAGGGGCCCATGGCAGATTAGGGGCCTGGCAGCAGCTATGGGAGGCCCGTAATCTGCCAACACCCTATGTCAAAAAATTCTACACACCAGCAGTGTGAGGAGACCTGAAAGTGGCACATGGCAGAGTGTGGCGATGGAGACAGCAGCAATGGGAGGCCGTACAGGGACCCATGACAGACTCTGGACCTGGCAGCAGCATGAGGAGGCGGTATATAGGGGCCTATGGCAGATTAGGGGCCTGGCAGCAGCAATGGGAGGCCCGTAATCTGCCAGCACCCTATGTCAAAAAATTCAACACACCCAGCAGTGTGGAGACCTGAAAGAGACCTGAAAGTGGCACATGGCATGAGAGACTGTGGACCTGGCAGCAGCATGAGGAGGCGGTATAGGGGCCCATGGCAGATTAGGGGCCTGGCAGCAGCTATGGGAGGCCCGTAATCTGCCAGCACCCTATGTCAAAAAATTCTACACACCAGCAGTGTGAGGAGACCTGAAAGTGGCACATGGCAGAGTGTGGCGATGGAGACAGCAGCAATGGGAGGCCGTACAGGGACCCATGAGAGACTCTGGACCTGGCAGCAGCATGAGGAGGCGGTATATAGGGGCCTATGGCAGATTAGGGGCCTGGCAGCAGCTATGAGAGGCCCGTAATCTGCCAGCACCCTATGTCAAAAAATTCTACACACCAGCAGTGTGAGGAGACCTGAAAGTGGCACATGGCAGAGTGTGGCGATGGAGACAGCAGCAATGGGGGGCGTACAGGGACCCATGAGAGACTCTGGACCTGGCAGCAGCATGAGGAGGCGGTATATAGGGGCCTATGGCAGATTAGGGGCCTGGCAGCAGCTATAGGAGGCCCGTAATCTGCCAGCACCCTATGTCAAAAAATTCTACACACACAGCAGTGTGTGAGGAGACCTGAAAGTGGCACATGGCAGAGTGTGGCGATGGAGACAGCAGCAATGGGAGGCCGTACAGGGACCCATGAGAGACTCTGGACCTGGCAGCAGCATGAGGAGGCGGTATATAGGGGCCTATGGCAGATTAGGGGCCTGGCAGCAGCTATGGGAGGCCCGTAATCTGCCAGCACCCTATGTCAAAAAATTCTACACACCAGCAGTGTGAGGAGACCTGAAAGTGGCACATGGCAGAGTGTGGCGATGGAGACAGCAGCAATGGGAGGCCGTACAGGGACCCATGAGAGACTCTGGACCTGGCAGCAGCATGAGGAGGCGGTATATAGGGGCCTATGGCAGATTAGGGGCCTGGCAGCAGCTATGGGAGGCCCGTAATCTGCCAGCACCCTATGTCAAAAAATTCTACACACCAGCAGTGTGTGAGAGACCTGAAAGTGGCACATGGCATGTGCGATGAGACAGCACAATGGGACAGGACCCATGGAGAGCACCTGGCAGCAGCATGAGGAGGCGGTATATAGGGGCCTATGGCAGATTAGGGGCCTGGCAGCAGCTATGGGAGGCCCGTAATCTGCCAGCACCCTATGTCAAAAAATTCTACACACCAGCAGTGTGTGAGGAGACCTGAAAGTGGCACATGTTTGAGGCATGATTCATGGCGGATTTAGTCAGTTGTGTCAGGAACTGGTGGTTTGAAATCCAGACTAATCCACGCCTGATTCATTTTCACAAACGTGAGTCTCTCCACACTTTGGGTGGACAGTCGTGTCCTCCGCGGAGTTACAATACCTCCTGCCGCACTAAACACGCGCTCCGATGCCACGCTACTGGCCGGGCATGACAGCCTTTCAAGGGCAAATTCAGCTAGTTGGGGCCAAAGGTCAAGTTTCGTTGCCAGTAGTCAAGGGATTGTCTACCTCGGTTGGCAGGGTGCTGTCCAAGTAGGCCCAAGCCTGTTGTTTGAGGTCCTGCTCCAGGTCCACCTGATGCTGCTGCTGCTGCTGCTGCTGCGGCTGGTTAGTAGTTTCCTCACTGCGCTGGTGAAGAAAGCTACTCATCATCGACTGCAGACTGAGGCAGCCGCTGCTGGTGGAGCTGCCACTGCTCCTACCACCCCACCCCTCCCCTGCTGCCATGGCAGCGGAACGCGAGCGCACAGGGCCCACAGTGTCTGAGGATGGACGTTGGCGCACAAAGGCAGAGACCAACTGACTACATAGGTGGTTTTTATAGTACGTTATTTTGGCCTCCCTCTCAGCAGGTGTGAAAAAAGGCCACCATTTTGGAACGGTAGCGAGGGTCCAACAAGGTGGACAGCCAAAAGTCATCCCTCTGTCTGATGGTTATTATTCGGCTGTCGCTACGCAAGCAACCGAGCATGCTATGGGCCATTTGTGCAAGGAATGCGAGGGACTCCCTGCCCTCCATCTCCACAGCATACTGCCACGGTGCGTCTGGGTCCTCTGTCTCCTCCTCCTCCTCCTCCTCTACCAGATGCTCCTGCTCCTCCACTCCTGTCCGCTGAGTGGAAAAACCACCCATTTCACTCAATAATTCCTGAGCACAAATGTCCTCCTCTACCTCCTCCTCTTCTTCCTGTCCTGCCCCCACAGGGGTCATGTGGCGTTGAGATCTGTGCGCCACGTCTACCGCACCCTGACCAGCCATTGTTAACAGCATTTGTTCAAGGACGTGCAACAGAGGAATGACGTCGTTCATCCCATAGTCCTGCCGACTCACGAAATAGCGTGGCCTCCTCAAAGGGCCTGAGCAAGCGGCAGGTGTCACGCATGAGCTGCCAATGGCTGACATCGAAGTTACACAGGGGAGTACCTTTATCCGCTTGTAACATCAGGAAATCGGTGATGGCCTTTCGCTGCTCGTAAAGGCGGTCTAACATGTGTAGGGTAATTCCACCTTGTTGCAACGTCGCAGATCAGGCGATGATGTGGAATTCCGTTCGTTCTGCCGCTGCAGCTCAAGGAGGGTGTGCTTTGCGGTGTAGGAATGGCTGAAATGCATGCAAAGTTTACGTGACATTTTAAGGATGTCTTGCAGTGGGATGGGATTTTAGGAACCGCTTGACAACCAGATTGAACACGTGAGCCATGCATGGCGCATGGCACAACCTTCCTTGACGCAGAGCAGACACCATGTTCTTTCCGTTGTCGGTCAACATGGTTCCGATTTTCAGTTTGCGCGGAGACAGCCATCTGTCGATTTCTCTGTTCATTACACTCAGAAGTTCCTCCCCTGTGTGACTACGTTCGCCAAGGCATACCAGGTGCAGAACAGCGTGACACCGTTGCGCCCTGCACATGTGATATGCCGGTCGGGTAATGGGACTTGGCACGGGGGTGGCGGCTGAGGACACGGCGGAAGAAGAGGTGGTAGAGGCGGACATCTTTGCCGGACCAAGGACGTGCAAACGTGGAGGCAAAAGCGGCGTGACCTGTCCAAGTTGCTGGTGCGGCTGTGACGGCACCACGTTCACCCAGTGGGCCGTAAATGACATGTACTGTCCCTGACCGTAGTTACAGCTCCACACGTCGGCGCTGCCGTGCACTTTGGCAGAGACCGACATGCTCAAAGACTGGCCCACCATGTCTTCTACATGTGAATGCAGGGCTGGCACTGCCTTTTTGGCGAAGAAATGACGGCTTGGCACTCTCCACCGCGGCGCGGCACAAGCCATCATTTCTCTGAAAGGTGCTGAGTCCACCACTTGGAAAGGGAGGGACTGCAGCACCAGCAACTTGGACAGGAGGACGTTCAGCTTTTGCACCGTCGGGTGCGTGCTCGCAAACTGTTGTCTCTTGGAAACGGATTCCAAGAAAGACTGCTGACGGAATCCGTGAAGAGGAGTAGCAGGAGAAGGAGCATCTGAACGAGCGGAAGATGCCAACGAGTGACAACTCCCCTCAGCAGAGGTGTTGGAGCCTTGACTGGCTGATGGAGGGCGATTGACGTCGGGTGACGGAGCAAGTAACGGAGCGGGTGATGGAGCGGGGGCTGGGGC